TCTGCGGAAACACCCCATCCTGGCCCTCAGTTTCCTCATCTGTAAAAGGCAGACAGATTCACGAGCTCACTTCTGCCGCACAGTGTGATTCTGTTCATGATCTGGAACTTAACAGCCTGTTTCTTAATGCCCAGAGGCTGAATTCTTACACTGTGGTCTCACAGAGCCATCAGATGACTGTTCATTCACTTGGTAACTCAAAGTCAAGAATGTTAAAGGTTTGTAACAAAAGGCTAAAATATAGACAAAACAAAGGGTGAGAAAAAAACCAAAGCCAGGAACAAACCAAGGAAAATCTGACTATAGAATTGCAGCTACTGGAGGGAAGGAGAGGTGGAAGGAGGTGGGGAGCGGAGCACAGTGGCTATGGAGGACTATGGGTGCCTGGTTGCGGGTGTGGTGTGCTAACTACATACACCTGACGGGTATGATCTATATGTCTAAGCATGTAGTGCTGTGAACCCCATATAAAAAGCTTTGTCCAAATATGACTGTGAAGAACAGAGGGCACATAAGAAAGTATTAATATTCTTGCGTGTGGAAACTTCCACTTGCAAAATGTGAACATCAGGACCCATACTGCTAGAGCATTCCATAAATTATAGACTCAATAAAAGCCTTTCTCAATACTCACACAAAAATTTAGCTAAAACCAACTTTTGTTGTTAAAAATAATTATATGTGAAGTTAAAGCAACACTATTATTAATAACTACAAGTGACATTCTGAGTCACTGAAAATATTACTCCATTTGTAAGCCTCTGTTCCTTTGCGCTTTCCCCCAAAAGAATTAGGGTACAGTGTATTTTGCATCTCTATTGTGTTATTCAAGAGCAGAAATACCATAATAATCATGTCAGTGGAGGAAAAAAATCCAATGACAAATGCAAAGGTTAAGAAAAAACAAAGGAAACCATTAACTTGGTGTCAGTTCAAACCAACAGAAAAATGCACATAGGCAGGACATGGCAAGGACGCTGGGACAGTGGTGACGTCAACCTCAGAGCTCCTGACAAACAAAAAGACCCCACATTTTTGTGATGGAAAATTCCAAGATTACTAAGAAAAAAGATCTTATGGTCACATCGTTTATCTAAAGCAAAGTTTCTTACCCTTGGAGTCACTGACATTTTGAATTCTGGGTGGGTTAATGCTCAGGGACTCGTTGCAGGGACTGTGTTGGGCAGTAAAGGATGTTTACCTGCACCCCTAGCCTCTATCCACTAGATACCAGAAGTTCCTTCCCACACAGTCAAATATCCCTGAGGGTTGGGGAGGAAAAACACCCCAGGTTGAAACCTACTGCTCTAAAGGGGGTCAGGGGCAAGAGAGGGGAGGGAGGGATCTAAGAAATGAAATTCTATGATACACTGAGAGTATCTGAGAAAGGCTTCTAAACAACTAGAGTCCACTCTTAAAAGAATTTTGTTTTGATATCAAAACATTTTAAAAGAAACAACTATGAAGCTGTATAAATATATAAAATACCAGTTCTCACAAAGGAGACAACAGGCAATACTGTGATCTCTGAGAGGAAGGAGGTGGGCCTGTGAGCCCCGCTGACAGCCGGGAGGTCATCCAGGGAGGGGAATGCAAAGCAGGGTGCAGGGGGAGCCTGACTGAACCTGAAGAGACAGACCCTGGAGTTCTGGAAGGCCCAGGCTCAGAATACTGGAGATGTAGGAAACCACAACTGGCAGGAAAGGGGAGCGAAAGAGGAAAGAAGTGGCCAAGAGCTCTTGAGAAGGTCTCTGCGTTGAGCACCCAGCTGTAAATGCCTGAGGTGCACTCAGATTCAGGCTAGAAAAAGTAACAACAGAAGTGGAAGGAGAGCTCAAGCAGGGCTGCCAACAGCTTGCATTCCTGTGAGCCAAAATCGAGAGCTCTGAAATCCGCAGGGCATTGGATGGGAAGGTCATGGTTTAAAAAGGGGACTTCACTGGCTCCAGATTAAAGGATGCTCTAGACACATTCTACCAAACCTAGGAAGAAAACTTCAATCTGCAAATAACCTATCTTTGAGCCAGAACAAAACACACCACTCAAGCCAAGCCAACAAAACCTGCCTTGCCACCAACACAAAAGAAAGGAACCCCGACACTGCACACATTATCTGGTATCTTTCAAAAATTACGAGGCCTGCAAAGCAGCAGAATGCGATGCACAGCAGAATGGGGTGCCGGAGGATCAGCCAGTGTGACCGCACAGTGATGGAGGTACTGAGAAGAGCACACAAAGATGTCAAACAGCCATTACAAGTATGACGCACATGCTCAAATTTGCCAAGGAAAGCATGAGCATGATGAGGAAAGGGAAGATCTTCTAAGACCCAAATAAATCTTCTAGATATAAAAAAAAATATGTAACATTTGAGATGAAGAACTGAGTAACAGATTCGACACTACCAAAGAGTGGCAAACTGGAAGACACAGTAAGTGGAATTAACTTTTATGTTTGTCGACTGACCTGAGAGTGAGCCAGAGAGGCAGGCTGACTCAGGTCTTACTGTAGTCATGCACCGAGCTGTCTGGCATAGGCTCTCATCTGCTCACTCATTTGGGTCAAGAAGGGCCATTCTGCTTCAGTGATTAAAGCTTTACATTTTAACATCTGATTCATATCTTCTCTCATCTGTTTTAAAAATTCCCAATCTTTTGTTACAGTCCAGTTCTCTGGACTGTATAAGATAATCTCTGAAACCACATCACACTTGAAAAACCAAGTTGTTATTGAAAAACCATATGCTTTCCAAAAAAAAATCTTCAGAAAAATAATTTCTCTCCCCAGGGTTCTGAGATTCTTGGTTTATCCTGGTGATTTTTGAGACTCAGTTTTAAGGCTATTTGTGCATAGAACTCTTTTTTTTTCCCCCTTCCTGGGATTTCCGAAATAAATCATGTATCACCAATTATTTATTTTACTTCTCTTTCCAACATTATCATTCATTTGCTTTAGTCCCTCTGCATGTAATTTGTTATTTACTCAATTGTAAACTGTCCCCAGTCTGTGTAACTACTCTTCTAGTAGATGTAAACATGACAGGATTAATTTTGTATTTCCCTTCATGATGTACTCTGATCAAACTCAAGGCTGCTCCAGAATTCTCCCAGAGCTGTTGTTCTCAACCTGTTTCCTAAATTTCACATCACCTCTCGTCTGGTGTCTGTAAGTACACTGTGACCACACAAGCTTCTGTCACCTGTCACAGGTGCTGAGAGAGGCCAGGCTTCTCATTAAAGGGTGCTAGGTTAATTGGGATCCATATGTCAAAAGAACAGAGAAGTTGTTTCTACTCCAACTATTCACAAAAATCAGCCCTGAATAGATCACTGACAGTTTTCAGAAGATCACATAGGAGATTATTTCATCTCAGGATACAAAATAATCCTTTTCAACAAGACACAAAATGCACTAGCCATAAATTTAAGAACATCTGTTCTTCAAAAGGTACTGTAAAAAAGGGAGTAATAACATGTCATTGAGAAGGCATTTGCAATATTTAACACACAAAGTGTGGAAGAACTCCTACTCCGTAAGACAAAGACAATATGCAAACTGATATAAAATTGAGTAAAAGGTAAGCACACACAAGAGAGGCTATTCAAAGGGCAAAAACACACATAAAACGCTGCTCAATTTCATTAAATGTCAGTAAAATTCAAAATAAGAGCACAGTAATCCCCAGATTAACGAAAATGTACAAGTCTGGCAGTATCAAGTACCGGCAGGCTATGGAGCAGTAGGAGCTCACATACGTTCCTAGTGGTAATATAAATTGGCATGATGACTTCAGAGAACCTAGCATTATCTAGCAAGAGTGAAGACTTATAGGCCTCATGATTTAGCACTTTCACTTCTGAGTCCATACCTCAGAGAAATGTCACCTGTGTGCTTCAGCTAAATAAACAAGAATGTTTGTAAGTCTTTTTTTGGTTTGTAATACCAAACACTGAAACTAATTTAGTGTCCACAAAGAGGATAAAGAACAAAGAAATTATAATACAAAGAGTAGGCAGTATACAGAGCAATAGAAATAAACTATAGTTATAAGTAACACGAATGAATCAACAAATAGTGTTCAGGATAAAAAGAAACGAAATATGTAAATCCATTTGTATAATGTTCAAAAATGGACAAAACTAAAGAGGATGGATCGCACGAGGGCAGATCGTGCACACATGCATCTATGTGCTAAACTATGCAGGGAATAAGAAGTCTCTGCAGTATCAGTAACTTGTAACACTGACTGGCTCGGCGGTAGGTGAGAGAGACAGATGAAAGGCGGAGGTGGCATATGACAGGGTATCAAAGATACTGGTGATTTAATTATTAACTGGGCTTGGACGGTGGAGACTCGGGTGTTTTTTATCAGGTGATAGATACACATACACTTTTTTGTACGTCACTATATATACATTTTTTATGACCCCGATGTCAGCAAAGTTCCTCCTTACACACCTTGGGAAGCTCAAAAACTGCTCTCCCACCCCGGGAGTTGCTTTGTAGCATGAACTCCTGCCACAGGAATGCAGGCAGAGCAGGCCTCACTGAGGTGGGTAGTTTGAGGGGGTGAAAAGTCTATGCCCCGAACCATGAGCCATCAACTCCAGCCCCTTTCTCGGTCCAAATCGCTTATCACATTCTTCACTATCATTCTATTAGGTTCAACCCATCAACTCTTAGTATTACACAGCCTCATGGATCACAAACATTGTACAGCTTTGTCTTTTTGCAACGGTCACGGTGTTCCTGTATTTACTACACTCCCCTCGTAGCTGACAGCAAATCATTCCCATGCTCCCTGGAGAGCTTATGGCAGTCGCATCTGTCATCATCATAACATGTGTGACTTTGGTCTCCCGGCTGCTGGGCTTTTCTGAGTCCACCATGGACTGTTAACTTAGACAACAAAGGCTTTAAGAAAAACACAGCATCACTCTGTCTCATTCTTTCTGGAGTTTGAGCACAAGATAAACTAGTCAGAAAAACTTAAACCTCACCTCCGCCACTTCCTTTTGAAAAGTCAAGGTCATCTGGGTCCTGCCGTAAGTAAAAGGTCCATCTCTCTGAGAAATGTTGTCAAGCCACTTGATAATCAGCGGGGTTGAGACACTGAAAGGCAGATTTCCGATAATATGTACAGCTGGAGGATCTGCGTAACAGGAGAAAATTAATCAAAATGGGTATGAGTTATCATCCAGCAAAAGTACGTGAAATAAATGGCTTTTTCAGTTCATCTAAGCTTCAAAGGCAGTGCTTTCTTATAATCAGCTTTAATATATTAAGGAAAAATTCTAACAAACGTGTACTTCCTAATTAGTCAGTGAAGCCATCAGTTTGAAGAAAAGGATAACTGCCTGAGCATGATGAGGTCACAGTGCCTTGGGGAACCTGCATGACGCTGTCGTAGGGCCAGATGCCCTGGAAGTCCATGTAGACTGTGTGTGATGATGAGAGCGTGTAGACAGGTGGCTAGTGAAATGGTGAGTGGCTACACAGCAAATCTGCAGCACAGGAGAAATGGCCCCCAAAAGGAAAAGCTCAGAAACATGTGAAGAGGTAGGTGCACAGTAAAGAATAAAGTTCCCTACAGTTTCCAAAGAAAAAAGGAGGTAATGGGAGCAGTGCAGACAGGAGACACACCTTTCAGGAGAGAGCAGGCGGTGGTTTAGTGAGTGCAGAAGAATGGAGTCAGATGAAGAGTGACACACGCCTTGGGGGTTACTGCAGTCCACGCTGGGCTGGGGCTGGGGCTGGGGCAGCGGCAGCAGCTGTGTGAGCCAGAAGAGGCTGGCTGGTAGGCAGAGGAAGAGAGCCATGCTCACCACTGGCAAGGAGCCTGGGGACTGGCAGTAACTGGGGGTAGGGGGCTGACGCATCAACATTGCTCCTCCCACTGTACCGAGAGGTTTTATAGAAAAGAAATATGTAAGGCATTTCTCTATGGATCCCCAAAAGTGGCACAAAACAGGTACCCAAGAGACACTGTGCATGAAAGTGCCTCAGTTGATCACTGAATGCTAAGACAAAGGAAATAAAGGTTAAAAAGAAAGGCCTGGGTGTGGCTCAGTTTATCAGATCACTTCTGTCATCACCATTTGCAAAACGTAACACTTCACATTTATTCATCCTAATATGAAAAAAGTTTACTTGCACAGAACCCAAAACATTTGAAAATATAAGCCAGGATTTATATAAAGCAATTAGATTGCTATTTGGGAAGTAGAAAAGCAGAAAAAAATTACATTGTACATTATTTAATTCTGTTTAATTTTCTCTATAAATACTTATAATCACTGTATAATATTTGTAATACAAGTAATTAAAAGTGAAATATTTAAAGTCTACACAAAGATACTTACCATCCTCCCACTGTCTTTTAAGACTTTCTGGAAAAGCCTTTTCTATCTTAAATGTCATCACATCTCCATGGACAATTCTTAGTTTTCCAGGTGCTGCATCAGAAAGCATCTGTTTGCGGGAAAGGTCAATACCATGAACTCATACACTTTAGAGAATAAGAAAACTAATTCTTGTATTTCAGATCTGTGCATCATTAAGTCAAACTGGCCAGCCGGAGGCCAGGACTGATCATCACCACAACAGACACACCTGCGTGCTCTACTTGATCTACACTGGCTTACAATTCCACAGATGATCTACTGACATAACTTGGGCTCTCAGAATGAATCCTATTTCTGCATAGATTTACCAAAACTCAACTTTTGACTGTAAATTTCAAAATCAGAGATTAAGGACATTTTAATGAAATACTGAGAATTCAGTAGAGTAAGTGATGTGAAAGAGGAACTCAATTCAACTAGATCTTTAGAGTCTAAATACACACAGGATTCCACCTGCTACCAGGATCTCTACCTTAACCATAGGTATGGTCAAATCAAGTAGAAAGACACCTGTGGGCCCTCCCTGGTGGCCTAAGGGTTAAGTCTCAGGGTTATCACTGCTGCAGCCAGGGAGTGACCCACAGGGTGCAGCAGACCTCTCCAGTCTCACCTGCTGCTCCCCTCAGCAGTGTATTTCAATCTGCCATTTTGCTACTCACTCTTGTCTCTGGTGAATCTTCTCACCCCATACCTCTGGCCTGCATCCTAGTTCTTGTATGTATAAATAAAAAAAGAAAAAAGAAAGGAAGCCACTTGTAAGGGCGGGCACTGAAACACTGAGAGGACTACAGCTTCCCTAATCTCACTAATTCCTGGCTCACAGGCACTTCAATATAACCAACTACACTGCATGCCCTAATGACAGCTAACGCCCGGCCTGCGTTCACCTTCCAACTATTGCTTTCCATTTTCTTCATTGAGTAAAAACAGGGGCAAGAAGCCAACTCTTTCCTTTGTAATCCTTTTCAAAATTTCAACTACCTTAGCACCATAATTTAGAAAATGCTCTCAGAAGCTAAAGTGCTAACTCTGAGAGCTAAGATACCCATAAATTGTGCTACAGTACACAACACAAAAGTCTGATCACTGACATCTGAGATGCACACTGTGGCTAAAGGAGGCCAGGGAAGAGCGACCTGCTTTCCCACAGAGGTCTCCGCTTTGGGGCACAGAGGACCTGGCATCCAATTGAGGGAAGCTATGACCTGAGCTCTGACCCAGTCTCTCCAGTTCCCACAGAGCCGAGTCTGTCTCCTGACCTGGCCCCTCGCCTGACTCGGGCACCTGCGAGGAGTAGTAGAGCAGCGCCGCAGCAGCCAGAGAGGAGACTCGGGCCTCGGCCTCGGCACCCAGCCTGTCACCAATGGCTGCCTCTGCTGCAACGCTGGGCCTGTGCCTGCTTCTTTGCAGCACTGCACCGATACGCTCCTGGGGGCACTCTGCTTCTCAGGGCCTCTGACAGCACCCCATACCCAATGAGCGAATGAATAAGTGAACAACCGAGTAGCAAACAATTTCCACTCCTAGCCTGTGAGATTCTGGGTCCCCGGTATTTGTAAAGGCAAGTGATCAAAGATTCGGTTCACTGACAAATCAGGCAGAATTATGCAGGTAATGTTTCCCAAGTACATAGCTGCAATGCCTCTACCGGTAAAAGACTAAATGTTTTAAGTTTGGTAATCTAATTGAGTATGTTTAGCCATGGTGGTTTAGCAAAATAATTGCATACTTCTGGCATTAACATTCTGTGGATTATTTTAAATTACCATACTTGCTAAAACTTAATTTGATGAGTTCCAGAAATAAATCTTAGAAAACATAATAATCTCACTATACTATAAATATAAACAAAGACAGCTCTCAATGGCAAAGGCTCCTACCACATAAAACCGTATTTAATGATAGCATTTACTGTCAATGAAGGAAGAAATTTTCCTGTAATTATATTGCACATAATTAAGACAAAACAAATTAACATACCAAAAACAAAGAGGCAGACCTAAAGACTTTTGTTTCAAGATGTAAATATATACAAAATAATGAATAATTAAGACTAAAACAATACAAACTTGGCTCTTTGGCATTAATTTACACTCTGATAATTCAACCTGATTTGAAATGCTAATTTTCTCCACACTGACACACACAATCACGTATCAAAAAACTGATAAAATACACATCTACGTTCCTTCCTGTATACACATTTAACTTCTTAACTTCCTTTCTATAAATCTCTAGGTGCAAAGTTGCATTACATTTCTCTTAGGTTCTCCTCCAGACTTAATAATTCTCAGTCAATGACAAACCCAATCCTCCCATCCTTTAAAGGTCTTTCTCTTTCCTGATCACAGCACAGCCTGATAGTGCTTTTCTGACTCCCCTCTGCAGAAGGAATGACTGCTGCTCACAGCTTTATGCGAAGTCCTAGAAGCAATTACGGGGGGAGGGCAGGGTGCCATCCAATCTGAAACGATGGTATGAATAGTTTAAATGGCTACTTAAGCACCCAATAATATTCAGCAACGACCCTCAAAGACTTTCTAACCAACCACTAATAGAGAAAAATGGTTTCAGTGTGATAAGAATATTTGGAGAGTGGTAGAGGGGTAGGAAAGATTATTATAACAGCCCTTCAAAACACAGTACACTACACACCAAAGCCCAGGAAGTGTGAGCTCATAATATGCTTAAAGACACTGCTCACTATGAAGAAGGCACCTGTTTACAACACAATGAAGACTTCTACAGACACTTTTAAATTGCTCCATCACTTCTATTTCAGTGCTCAGTCATACATTTTGCCAAAATGAGACAGAAGTCAGCTAAGAGTAAGAGGTATTCATTAGATAAGGCTGTAAAGGAATAGAAAAGCAAAGAGAAGTATAATGTGGATCATGAGCATCAACAATTTAAAAAATATTATAGCTCAGAATTTACACAATGAATTATATGTTTTACTCTCCACTGTAGTAATTACACCAAATCTCCAAGACAGAAAATGATATTCTGCTACTAAGTTGTGTAAAGGGTATGTGGATCCAAATAATGGGGAATACTTTTAATACAAGTGAAATAAACACATGAAAAATCTCCCTCAATGGTCATGTAAAAATATCTTTTCTTTTAACATGTTAGTTAAGGTTTCAGTACAAGCTTTCTGAAGGGGTAGGACTGGGGATAATAATTTAATGATTATAAGTGCCAAAAGTTACACAGGCTGCTAACTAGTATGAGGCATCCACGTAATCCTCACATCAACACCAGGAGCAAACTGAGGCATGGAGATAGGGCTACCTGGAGACAGGATTACCGGCTGAAGGTCACAGACTAGCAAATGCTGGGGGGAGTCAAGTGCAGCCAGCTTGACTCAAGTCCACGTTTGCACAAAAGTACACTGTAATGCTTTCACATTTAGACTTACTTTACAACAGGTAATAATGAAAACTATGTTACCATTATGTTCTTTCTCCTAAGTTGCTTCATGATAATATTATGAGAATTGAATTAAGCTACATAACATACTTTCAGCTAGAAGACATTTTGTAAATTATTACAATTTCTTTAGAAGTAATTCTATTAGCTTAGAAGTTACTAAAATTGAATCCTTAAAATAGACTGCTCTCCTGCCTTTAGTTTCATGACTAATTTAGTAGTTCTAAAAGAAAGTGGTTTTACATATTAAAACATTCTTTTGAGGAGAAAGAAGTCTATTTGATATTTAAGTATTCAACATTTCTTTTTAAGGCAAATTTCTTTCCTGCATACAAGACGCTAAGAATTAATTTTGCTTCTACTGAAACAGATGAGAAGTCGAATATACACTTCCTACAGAGGAATTTACCTTAAAATTGACCTTCACATTTAGAAAGAAGAGCATGAAACTTTTTGATAATCAATGCTACACAATTATTCACCTTCACTATTAAATGTCACAGTCAGCTAATTAGATAGTGAGCGTCAACTTTTTTTACTTCCTGTCTGAGACATTAGTTAGGTGCTAAGTACTATTCTTACATTTAGCAGAGATACACCAGGGAGCAAAACAGACAAAAATCTCTACCTTTACAACACACAGGCTCCAGAAGGGTTGAGAATGACAACAACCAAATAAGAACATAACAGACACAGTGTGTTGGATGATGATAAATCTCATGAAACACACAAAGGCAGGGCTCCCAGGAGGGGCAGTTGGGAAGAGCTACTCTACTTAAAAGGGGATGATAAGAAATCTGACTCACCTCCTGGACTCATGAGAAAGAACTGCACATAACAAGGTGAGACTGAGCTAAGTCATTTAAAGGTGGAAAGTCAGATGAATTTTCCTTATACCTACAAAGGGCTAGATGAACAGACCTGGATATTATCCCAAAAAAGTTACAAATCTGAAGCCAATTATGCAACTAAAGACTGGCAAAATTAAAGTGAATGAAATATACAAGTTTTTAGAATATAACAACAGGACATAGCAAAATCATGAAAAAAAAAAATCTCTAGGGTTCTTATGAAAACATCGGTATCTGCATACAAAGCTCTGGATATTCAGATTTCCTCAAACTCTTCTGGCAAAACCTCAACATTTTCCCATAAAGACACAAGCATTAGACTACTAATTTTTTTTTTAAAGATTTATTTATTTATTTGTACAGAACTGGGGTACAGGCCAGAGATGCGGAGGGTGAGAGGATTCACCGGAGACAGAGTGGGGAGCAGAGCAGGCAGATCAACGAAGTACACTGCTGAGGGGAGCAGCGGGCGGGTCAGGAGAGGTCTGCCACGCCATGTGGTCACCTCCGAGGCAGGCGGGGGATCGAACTCATGCGGAAGTGGCTTTAGTTTCTCAGTGCAGTGCCTTAACCCGCTGCGCCACCAGGGAGGGCCTAGACTACTAATTTTAAGGCATCTGTCCTCTTATTTGAGAATAATAATACTGATAATTTTATTATTTATCTTATGAACTCTATTCATCTAAGTGAAAGGTTAAGGGTTCTTTAAAGTGTTAGAATCATAAAAGAACCAAAGACCGTGACATCATTAAGTGTCCCATAAAGAATTCCTTTACAAGATCTCTGACATAATCTATCCCACTGCTTGCCAAAGTCAAAAAAATTATTAAGTCCCTCTTTATTTTAAATTCTTATTTGCCTCAATTCTCATGTGTTTTTATGCCAGACAGCTCAAAAGGTCTGCCCTGTCCGCTGCCAAGCTGTCAGTCTGCTATGCATTCCCTTGTTAAAGGCTTCTCTACTCTAGTCCCTTCAAGTAGAACTATTTCTCATGTAACATCAGCTGATGTTTTACAGATATGTATCAGTTCATTTATATCTCACCTGAAATCTACAGTACAACTTCATTCCTTAACTAAAATTTTCCTTTATACAAATGCTCAAACTATGTCAATGAAGCATGTCATCGCTACTGTCTACCTTTACTAATGATTTTTTTAATCTAAATGAAGTCCTTAGAAGTCATGCAAATAACTGCAGTCATTGTTAATATTTATTTATTTTTAAAGGAATGAGCCATGACACACACAGTTACTGGTAGGTTAAAAAAAAAAAGGGTCACCGACAACTTGTTTCACATCAATGTATGAAGCATGACAAGTCAGTGTATGCTCAATTAGGCTGTGCTCTCAAATGTCGGATTGCAGATTCCTAGGGGCCCCCCCCCCGGAGTGGAGACTAAGGAGCTAGAGCCCAAGGAGCAGGCTTCATGGCCCTTGGACATGCTGGACCCTAGGAATCTTGGCCTAAAGACTGGAATTGGGGTTTTGCCTCCTAATAAAGATGCCAAGAATCTTACCTGTAACCCAGGAATAAATCGAATGTCTTTTTCAACCACCAGAAGCTCAGAAACCCCAGCATTGAGAATGGATCTTGTGATCCCCCCGGGTCCAGGGCCCACTTCGTAGACATGAGAGTTGGTCAGGTCGCCAGCTTTCCTTACGATTTTATCTAAAGAAAGTTAAGTCTTAGTTGTTATAATTATTTTGGCAAATTTCAATGCATGGGATTTTAAAAGAAAAATAAATTGTCTACAATCTTATTAGCTATTAATCAATGAATCCCTTATTATATGAGCTATTCAATTATTTCTCAACCTAAACCGAACAGTGATTCAGTATTCTACCACATCACTGCAAACTGTACCAGTTCTGTACCAAAAATAGGATTACCACAGAAATTTTTTAGATTTAGCTAATACAGGGAATACAGTATTTTCTGTTACTCTAGCAGCACAACCAATGTGGAAGGAGAGACTGGGCATCCCATGCACTTACCCAGTTACTGAATAAGGATTTGAATAAGCAAGGCTAGCTTCACATTACATTCAGAAGCAGAAAGTGCCGGCCATCTCCATTTTTACCTAAACACATCTAATTGGTCATTGAAACAGCAGTGGGAGCAACTTCCCACACCATAATACTTAAAAGAAATTTTTTTTTCATTTTCCAGGAAAAAATTAAATCTAGTAGTTTAAAATTTTAACATGCATACTGACATGAGAAAATTTATCTTTTAAACAATCAATTTAACTTACTAGACCTTAAGAAATCGCGGAAAAGCAGACTGTTGTCTCTGCAAGCAATCCTCACATGGTAAAACATACAAGGGGCTGGTCTTCTGACTGGGTCCCTGGAACTGTAGGAATATAGCCACTCCCAGGCAGTGTTCCTGACACTGCATGGTACCAGTCTTGCTTCTGTTACCGAGAGGTGGCCTTTGTGGGTTTAAAGGCAAAAAAATCTCTCAACCATCCAATAGTCCCCCTTAGTGGGTGCAAGGAGGTGATTAGTATCCACTAACAATCTCTCTTCTCCAGCTGTTTCACATGCTCCTAACCCCTCGAACATATTCACTAGGAATTACTACCCCAATTTAACTCCCGCCAACTCTTCAGCAGTTTCTTGCTTTATTTGTGTGAGGTCATTCAGAAGGCAAATGATTAGGGACCCAGGTCAGGTGTGAATTCTAAAGCACTCCTCCTTCACAACATAGCAGTAGCTTTTCAGAGGGGACCGTTAAACCAGAAGTTAGGTGAGTTAGGGGATGAGTTTGATGCTCTCACCTATAAAATGGAGGGCTAGGACAGTAGGCAGGATGGCTCTGCCCTCAACTCCACGGGCACACTCGAGTACAAATGCATCATCAAAGAGGCACTGTTAATTTAGTAAACTTGGGTTTCAATCTTGCCCTGTTCCCATCTGAGCTCAAGGCAGTTAAGTACCTTAATCTCTCTTCAAACTGGTTCCCCACAGAAGAGGGAATACTATCAAGACTGTGGATTTACTCCTGAGGGTAAAACAAGGGTCACGAAGAAAAACAAAACCCAAGATTTTTTAAAACATATACTACAGACCTTTATTTTCAGCTCTCAGAATGTTGTTTTATACTCAGAGTGTGGCTAATAAATCGGTGGTCACTACTTAAATCGGTGGATTTTAAAAGTGGGTAAACTTTTACACCGATCATACTATGATCGTCCTCCAAGTAACGGATAAGAAAACTGAAGCCAAGTCAAGCTATTGCTACTGGCCCCAGACGCAAGAAATAAAACATTCCTGTTTTGTGGACTGTATTTCATTTAAGTGAAACTAAACTGGGTGTGACTTACTGCTCTAACTTCTGAAGAAGGGCAAAGTAGAATGCTGTATCTAGCCAGACCTCAAAAACTTTAAGTGTTCCAACAGCGAATTCATGGGCGCTGTTAACCCATCTGATCTCATATTTTCCAAGAGACCTTCACCAAGCACTGCGGCTGGTGGTGAAATAAACGTGTGCATTCACCAAATCTGCACACTGCCTTCCAGCCGTGGGAATGCTAAGCCCGTGTGCATTAAGGTTACTCCCTCACAAGTGACAAAACCAAACGCGGGGCGGGAAGGTCAGCGTCATCAACCATAGGCTCCTGGAGCACGCCCCCCTTTTCCCAGCTCCGGCACAGAAAGGCTTCTTGGCTGTGTATTCCCAGGTTGATTCTCGGCGTCCAGAGGGCTCGTTACCCACAGAAGTACCGCCGCGTCCACACCCGCCAGGAGCCCGCGCAACCCCCCTCCCCCGCGTTCGCTGGGCGTCTACACAACCCGGCCAGGCGACCCCGGAAGGCGCCCGCGCTCGGGAGTCCGGGCAAATGCCGCACGCCCACGCGTCTTCACTAGCCAGCGGCGAGGGGACCCTCCCAGCCCCCGCACCCGCGGGCCGCGACGGCCCACGCCCCCCGACGCGGGGAGACCTCCGGGAGCTCGGAAAAGCCAGCCACCTGTCAGCCTCAAGTCCAGGAGGAAATTCTGGGAGAGCTGCTTCATTGCTTGCAGTCTGAACAACTTAATGATTTCTCGAATCGTGGGCAAAGGCGGGAGTCGGAAAGCGGGGGCTGCCATGACCGCGGCCAGCCCGCGAGGACTCAAACCAACCTGCCCCTCAACTCCACAGGCCCCCCGCGGGGGCGGTGCCCGGGAGAACGAAGGCCCACCCCCGCGCCCACCTCATTGGTCGGCTGTGCCGCGCCGGAAGTGACGAATGCGGGCAGGAACTCTAGGCATACTGAGAGCGCACGCGCTACGTCCGCCTCGCTAAGCGTGGTGCAGGCTGGGTGCGCGCTGGTTTCCACACGTGAGCGCGGAGGAACACGCTGGTGGGCGTGACCTAGCGGGGTTAGATGGTGACGTAAGCGTCCGGGGGCGGGGCGGAGACCGGAGGGGCGTGTATCCCAGGAGGCGTGGACCCAGCTCCCAGCCCAGGCGCAGCTCTGGCCAGGGCCAGTGGCTAAAGCACCTCATGGAACAGCTGCACTGAAGCCCTTGAGTAGAGGCAACGCAGTTGATGGCCGACAATTGTCTCTTGCGTTAGATATTTTTAGAACCTCAGCACTGCAGGTGCGGGAGGCAGGTTTCTAATTACTCTCAGCTTCGTTTTTTCTGTCTAAAAGTGGATAGAATGTCGACCTCGAATTATGAGCACTCAACAGAGGTGGGCATTTGGTGTGCCCGTTCAGGACATAGTGGCACGTGCCAGGTGAATGCAATCCCAAGGGTTAAGTGATCTCAGCACAGCTTGTTAGTGTGAGGGCCAGGAGTAGGATTCGAGGTTTCTGCTCCTTCAGAATATGTCCTCTGAGCAGACAAGACGCCTTGCTTAGGACTTTGATTTTAAGAAGTGATTTCGCACAGATTGAAATTTTTTTGAACCCTTCACTAATAGCCTTCTGTAGTGAAGTATTATTGGGTTCTCTTTAGAAGGAAGGAAACCAACAAGCGATATAACAATGAAATTCACAAAGCTAGACCTTTGTTGCAGTGCACGTTTACACTTGCCAGTTTTCTTAATGTTCTTTTGGCTCCCTGTCTCGCGCCTCTCAGGAACTGGAAGGCGAAAAATGGAAGGGAAAGAAATTAATGTGGTAACACTAAGAATATTACAGGGCAGCCCAGAGTGGACTGGGCCGCCCTTCCGTGGGGCTTCACCTGTGCGCTTAAAATTCAATTGTACTGCAGGCACACACAAAAGGGTCAAAATGGGTTTATTTACAAAAAGGGGAAAGGAATAGGAAACACCGGGGAAAGAGAGAGGGATACAAAGTAACTGGAATACCTTACCTGATCCACTGACTGAACACACAGAGTCCCGCCTTCGGTAGAGGAGAGATGCAATATTTATTTACCCCCCAATACCCGAAAATTGCGTAGCTCTGCCCATGAGTCCTGGCAGTTCTCTCCCTGGTACTGCTGGGAGTTGTAGTTTACAATCACTGGAGTAGGGGGTAGGGTCCAGAAAGCTGGAGTAGGGGGTGGGGTCCACAAGACTCTGCCGAGTTCCTTTAGGACATCCTTCCCCTTAACAAGAGTAGCTAATATTCTTTGAATTTTTTTTTCTCCCCAAAGTACCCAGCTTTACAGTAGAGTGCTTTACATCAATTATTACTAAGCTAAGGAGCTAGGGAGTTTCAACAACTTTCCCCAAAGCTACACAAATACTAAGTGGGGGGGGGGGGAGCTGGGATTGAATCACACAATGAATTCACATATTAAGACAGATCATTTATTTGGTTAATCTTAGTATACACGGATGAAACTTCTGTGCATTACAACAAGCCACAAAATGAAGAAAGTTATCAAAATATCTAATAGATTAGACAATACAGCTTTTCTAGCCATTTTTTGCAAATCCCCCTTTGATTACAAGTGAATCATAGCATTTTTTCAAATATATATTTTTTAAAAGCTAATGGAAGACCAAGTAGCCAACTAACTGATGTAGAGCTAGAGAATGTATTGAAGTCCCAATGGAAAACCCAACCACCTTTTGCTACAGCTGTATTGGAGGGAACTGAGATCATCTGATGTAACACCTAGTTTTAGAAAATTGGGAGTGCCTTCCTTAGACTAAGGAGATTTGCCCCAATGCCATTGAATTGTATGTTGAAAGCCTAAATTTTTGATTTGGAGCCGTTCACAGCATACCATACCTGGGAAAGAACTCACTCACGGTTGTATTCATGGTTTCATATACTGCTCACTATGGCTCATGTGGATAAAATTACTGTAATTTTATTGTGAAGAAAAGAGGAAGATGACATCATTTGATTTGCCTCAGGATTACACAGCAGAGAGAATAATTAACCTGAGTTAAGTCTGAGTTCTTTTCTCATTTCAGAGGTCATGTCCATCAATTATGAAACTATTTTTGGAGTTATTTAATTTATGTTAAATTTATAAGACTATTTTCAAAATTAGAGTGTGAAGGCAGATATAATGTTAATTTTACAGTTTTCATGTGACTATTTGAAACACAATGAGAAGTATATATATGCAGAGCCTCAAGCTAATACAAATTACTAATTTAAAATTCAGGTTACACACATCCCAGGGAATGACTGATTTTTCTCATCAGTTTTCTGGATCCAAACTACGCGAAATCTTAATTCAGAGTTGGTTTTTTTTTTTTTTTTTTTTTTTTTAACCATTGTCATTTGCCTTTCTGTGAAGGAACATGGATGTTATATATTAAGTCTGCTTGTGTCTGTTTTCATAGCTTGGAAACACCCAAAGTTGAATTAGTTTGCACAGATACTATCATAAGTATTATAAGGTTGCCTGACAGTTCAAAGGAGTATATTGAGATGACCCAGAATTCGCTCACAGTAATCTTTTAGAAGATGAACAGCAACATGAAAACAAACCAGCATTTAAAAGAATTAAAAACACGATCACATGGTGAATGTGTGGATTTCTGGCAGTTTGTCCCTAGGTGTAAATATGAAAATTATCTTCTTACTCCATTGTTGAGGTATCATTTAATGAAGTTAGAATAAGCCCCCACTCCTGGCCTAGCAGGCAGGTTTGGGAGGCTGGAATTGATAAAGCTAACTTAGGCCCTAAAATCCACAACCATGACCACGTTCCATCCCAGATTAAGCAATGTAGAAGTGGAGGCCAAAACATGTTTCTGTATCAAAGGTCAGTGCCAGATATCAGACATCTGGTGGTAACTGTTGTGAACTGACCCCCCAAATTAGAAAGCCCCCAAAAACAATATAAAAGAGAGCCTCAGATCCTCCTTAACACGAGGACTTCTCCCATTTTGCCCGCAGCTTCTTTCGGCAGTGGAGTTCAGTCAACCCACCATTTCTATTCTCCAGTCTGGCAAATTCTCTCACCTCAGACTTCAGCCTTACCTTGCTATTTCTCCCCAATCCATTCCTGCAATTTGTCTTTAAAAATCAGCACTTACGGCACTCCCTGGTGGCGCAACGGGTTAAAGCATAGCACTGAGAATCTAAAGCCGCTTCCGCATGAGTTCGATCCCCGCCTGCCCCGGAGGTGACCACATGGCGTGGCAGACCTCTCCTGACCCGCCCGCTGCTCCCCTCAGCAGTGTACTTCATTGATCTGCCTGTTCTGCTCCCCACTCTGTCTCTGGTGACGCTTCTCACCCTCCCTGAGCCTCTGGCTGTACCCCAGTTCTGTATGCATAAATAAATAAATCTTTAAAAAAAAAAATCAGCACTTACGAGGGTATGACCTATTGTTTACAAAGCAACTTTAGACCTTACTTCATGTAATTCTCATTCCAGTTCCGGGATATCCATAAGCACAGTTAAGGTGCCATTAAATGGGCAGCTGTGTCTCACCTCTGACCCTCTTGACGACCAGGCTCATCCACGTCTGTGCATACTACGTAATTGTTGAATTCGTAAAAAATTCCATGTTAGAGAATCTTCCAAGATTTTGATAGTTCTTGAGGTCTAATGTCTATCATAAAAATCTGATTCTCAGTCTTTTAATTTTCAGAAAATTATGCATCGCTCCCTGCATAGCCTGAGAATTCAGCAGGGGGCATTTAGTGGTGTATCTCACATATTAATGCAAACAGTTTTATCCTTTAAAAGAGAAGTATGCGGCTTCATCAGTTTTGAGGCTTTGAAGTATTTGCTTCATCTAGATATAGATTTTAATATGCTAAAATATTGTAATTAATACAGAAATTACTAGCCCCACCTATCAGTGAAGCTGAAGAATTACAAATGATTCCTCCTCAACTATAATGCAGAATTCTAACTTGCTTAAATCCCAGTATGGTTATACAGGAAAATTGCTTATTATTTTAGTATTTATTTTAATGAAAATGCATATGCACCTTTATTTGATATTAGTACATTATTGTCTATTTATAGGGAAAACGTGCTAATTCTAAAAGGTCGTCATTTTACAGTTCCCTGATAGGGACTTGAAAGACACAAAGAGCAATATCTTTCTGCCATGTGGGAATTTTCAGAGAAAATTAAATGTGGTTTGGAATTGCCAAATTGAACTTTATAAAATGACTATGATGGCATGTAAAGTGCCCTTTTCTCATGGTATTTTATAATTTTGTATGTTATAGCCCAATGCTCTCGAGAAATATTAAGAGCTGCATTTTGCACATATTTATTTTTTATTTTTTTAATGGCTGTTCGATGCCCACTCTTTGAAAAGGAATCTAGTGACCTACCTAGAGGAAAGAAGGAAATACATAGTAATTCTGGGCAGGCAGACAAAATGCTTATTCTATGGGGACAGAAACGCAGCAACTTACTGCAAGCAACACACGCTAATTGCCTGAGGGAACCATGTAGCAGTTACACTATTTTTAAAATATATAGTATTTATCACTATTCCAGGCAGTTTTTGAAAGCCTGCTGATTATCTCCAAAGACCTGTGAATTATTGTCAAGTACCCTAATGAGGTGATAAGGACAGGCAACCCTATCCACTCAGGAGGAGACAACTCAGGATTTTTTCCTACATGATAAGGCACATCTGTTTGTGAATAAAGAGGTCAGCGTGTGCCAAAGACATTGTAAAAATAATTAGCCTTTATTATATTAATAGTTTATTAGTTTAAGTCTTAAGATCTAATTGAAGAAAAGGTTGAGAGTAAGTAAGACTGGATATGAATACATT